TCCCGGCAGGGATAGGGGCCTGCCGAGAATCCAGGTGTGTTACTGGGAGGCCTGATGGGCAGGGCCAGGTCAGCTCCTCTAGGCTCCATTTTACACGCAGGCCGAGGGGGCACGTGGACCCTTGCTCTGGATTCGGGGGGTTCCTGCAGGCTCCACAGCCAAGCCCTCCGCATGGTCTCCAGTTGGCTTAATATACAGGCAGGAGGAGGCTTCCCTGGAAGGTAAGTCTTAGGTCTGAGAAATTCCACAGCAAGGGGCAATGCAAACAGTGAGGGAGATGGGCGGGAAACGGCTGCTCACAAGCGTGTCGGGACCATGTTCTACACAGAGACCCTGCTCAATCCAGAAAGCTCTGAGAGGACACGCCACTTAGGGGCTCTGGAGGTTGGCATGTGCCCTGGCGTTGTAGAGGGCACATTCTCAGAATGGATGTCTTACTCAGGGAGCTTTTCCGCTGACGGTGATCTCAGGTCATGGAGGTGAGCCACAGGCACTGACTGGCTGGCCCTGCTTGAAAGCAAAGCCAGAAGAGCTTCCCTGCCAACCTTCCTTCTCTCAGATCCCCCCAAGTCTGTGACGACTTTGGAAGCACTGAGTCCTGGGTTCTGGAAGCTTGTTGTGCCTGGGATAATTGCTCTATGGACCAAAGCTTGGCTTGTTTTCTAAGCCCTGTGGGTTTTAGGCAAGTTTTTGACAAAAGATTTTTTTTTCTTTTTCTTTTCAGACGAAGTCTCGCTCTTGTCCCCCAGGCTGGAGTGCAATGGCACAACCTTGGCTCACTGCAACCTCTGCCTCCTGGGTTCGAGCAATTCTCCTGCCTCAGCCTCCCAAGTAGCTGGGATTACAGGCACACACCACCACGCCTGGCTAATTCTTGTGTTTTAGGTAGAGATGGGGTTTCACCATGTTGGCCAGGCTGGTCTCGAACTCCTGACTTCAGGTGATCTGCCTGCCTTGGCCTCCCAAAGTGCTGGGATTACAGGTGTGAGCCACCGTGCCTGGCCGACAAGGATTTATGCAAATTTGTATTTCTGCTAGCTTTAGATGAGAGCCTTGATAACAGTAGAGCGTCTTGTTAAGTTCTATCTGGAATGTGTGTCATTTCACTGGATTTAGACAAGGCTTTATACCTTTGAATGACAGGGTGGGTTACTGTCAGGTGTCTCCTAGAGCTTCTCACCCCAGCCTTCATTTTACTCTCCCAGGCGTTTATTTTGAGCCAAAGTGCAGCAGTATAAAAATGGATTTTGCTCTTTTGGTGGCTGGCTATGGCTATGAAGGAGCAGAACTGAATAAAAATAAATACTGGTTGGTGAAGAACAGGCATAAATTGCCAAAACTACTTCTATTTGAAATTCAAATTCTTGTTTAGAATCAGTATTTTGGATACAGGTCTTAGATTCTTTATCCTATTTAGGTTAAACACAGAATGTTAACGTTTGATTATACCATTAAGATATTGTCACAAGTGGTATCAAGGTAATATTTTTACCTTTGCATTGCTAAATTCTGAAATTTTTCTTAATCTTGAAACATATCTGGCTGAAAAACATCCAATTATTTTTCTCCCTCTGATTTTGCAGTTCTGTGAAAGGCCACAGATGGGATGGAAGTTACGTGTAGGTTATGACTCAAGAATGTATAAAGGATGAACAAAAACATTGGACTCTTCTGATTCTTTCTGCTAAGCCTGTGGCCTCTCGCACACTGTTTAAGTTGGGTCTTCCTGTTAATTGCCCAGTGGATTTTATTGCTGGAAAACCTGCTTTTCTTTCAGCTGGAGTGAAGACTGGGACATGTGTGGCTACATACAGATGGCCAGAGACCGGAATAACAACTGCAGAGTCGCCACGCTGGCCACCCTTCCTATTGTGTGAGCTGATGGACGGTGAAGACGAAGGACTTGACTGGGGATGGCACATACATGGGAGGACTTCATCTGAAATCTACCAGCCCCTGCTGTAGGATGCACACTGGCATCACTGAAGATCCAAGGGTGATTTGAATTCTGTGACATTTTCATACTGGCATATGTTACCACTATTTTGATTACTGCTATAACCAGCTTTGCATTATTGATTCACTGAATGGCTTTAGATTGTTTTTGCTTTAAAAGGATGGATAAAATTTTACCTGTTTAAATAAAACTTAATTTCACTTGGAGTGGAGGGACTTCTTTCTGTTTTTGACGTTTTGACATTCGGTAGTGTAGTCAAGCATGTAACTGGGCTCTAAAGATGGAACTGCTGTGCTGGAGGTTCACTAGGAGGAAGAGTGGGTGGCCTTCTCACTCTTCTACGAACAGATACGCAGATCTCATGTCAGTTGCCCAGTGGCTATGTCTGACCCAATCTTTGATTGGACAGAAAACGGACAAATGACCTATGAGGACAAAGGAAACCTGTGGTCTTTGCAGTGGAGGCAGGACAGGGCACTAAGGCATTGTCAAGGCTGTTTGTCTTTGGGTCCTCAAGGGACACGGGATAAACTCCAGCGTTTGCGGCTGAGCTTCAAAGGTGGTGTGCTGGCTTTGGAAGGTGGAGGACCAGATGAGAGAACCAGAAATGAGGATCTATGGCTGCATTTAAACCAAGCTGCCCTATCCCTGAATAATTTCTTAATAAATAGGAACAACTTCCCAGATTGTACTAGCTTAAAAAGCACATAGTTTCATCATCCGTATGTTTTCAACAATCTCATGTTCCCCCTCAAGAAATATAAACAATAAGTGGAAGTGTTTAGTGAATAGACTCTATATCCCAGAGGAGGGTAACCAGGTACACAGCGGAGTCTCAGCTCACAAAGCCTCCAGCAGGCTCTGCTCAGGTCCATTTGGATTGGACCACGTGCCTTGCTGGGCTCTCCTGGGTGGTCCCTCCTGAGTACTTGCTAAAATTTCACACTTTTTGACCTAAAATGACAAGTGTGGCATCTGAAGTGAAATTCTTTGGATTTTGTAATGAAAATAGCCAGTGTGGTAGCAAGAAGACTTGGGAGACTCCAAAGCTAAATCTATTGTACTGATTGGGACCTAGGTTTGATATAATTTGAATTTATGCAGCATCCGCTATGTGCAGGTCATCACCACAGTGGAAGAGACAGGCCCTGACCTCAAGGAGCTGCAACTATTAGAGAGAGGGAGGTCATCAGGGAGGGCCTCCAGGAGGAAGGGAATGCAGACATCAGCCAGAGCAGCAGTCAATATGAGAAGGTGAAGAAGTCAGCATCTTAGCAGAGACTAGCACGTCAGCAACCCTGAGTCAAGACCCTGTGGTGAGAGACCCTGAGGAAGTGACTGCATCCAGGGTTTGGGTGACGAAGCTTGCCCAGTGGAGAGTTTGGACACAGGGGAACCACTGAGGGGGCGGACGCAGTGAACAGGCTGTTCCAGTTCTTTCTTTCTGTCAAACTACCCAGAAACCCAGTGGCTTGGAAGAAACATCTTTCACATCTGTCTGGACTCAGCTGCGTGGTTTTTACACAGAGGTCTCTATCAGTGCTGGAGACGTCGTAGGCTTGACTGCACTGGACATCAGTGAGGCTCACTCACATGGCTGGCCACAGATGCTGGTGTCAGCTGGATGTTCATCTTGAGCTGTTGACCAGAGCACCTGCTTGGGGCCCCTCCATGGCTTGGGCTTCCCATGCATCAACACTGGGAAATACATGTATATATGTATTCGAGGTCCATAAACTGAAAACACTGAATTTCGGCCAGGCGTGGTGGCTCGTGCCTGTAATCCCAGCACTTTGGGAGGCCGAGGCGGGTGGATCACCTGAGGTCAGGAGTTCAAGACCAGCCTGACCAACATGTGTTTCTACTAAACACAAAAAATCAGCCAGGCGTGTTGGTGCATGCCTGTAATCCCAGCTACTTGGGAGGCTGAGGCAGGAGAATCACTTGAACCCGGGAGGTGGAGGTTGAGGTTGCAGTGAGCCAAGAATGTACCTTTGCAATCAAGCCTGGGCAAGAAGAGCAAAACTCCATCTAAAAAAATAAAAATAAAAATGAAAAACCACTGAATTTCATCAATGTTAATGATCACCTCTATTGGTAAAAAAAAAAAAAAAAAATTAATCATAAAAAGTATTACCAGGAGATTTGGTCTCATTCCTTTTATATTACATTTTAAAAGTTTCATAATTCACATATTTAAATTTTTTTTTCATATTTACACTTTCAACAAGTATGTATTAAGCACATTTTATTAGGTCGTGCTGTGCTGGGTTTGGGGACATAAAAGTGAAGCGAATACTCACACTCCCTTCCCATGGAGCTCCTGTTCCCAAGTGAACAAGCAGAAGGCAGAGCAAAGCCTGGAACAAACCACGTGCAAGTGCCGCACTGGCGAGGCTCTAACGGGAGCCCAAGGGCAGTCGGGGCACACGCCAGGGATGTGCCGCCCTCTAGGAATCAGGGCAGGTCTGATCAAGGACCATCTGATCCCTTTTTTTTCTTTCTTTCTTTTTTCTTTTGTTTTCATTTTTCAACTTTTACTTTACAGTCAGGAGTACATGCGCAGGTTTGCTACAGGGGCATATTGTATGATGCTGAGGTTTGGAATATGAATGAATCTGTCACCCAGACAGTGAGCATAGTACTCAATAGACAGTTAGTTTTATTTCAACCCTTCCCCCCTCCCTCCTTCTCCCTCTTGTATTCCTCAATGTCTATTGTTCCAATTTTTATGTTCATGAATGCTCATTGTTTAGCTCCCACTTATTAGTGAGAACATGTCATTTTTATTTTCCGTTTCTGCATTAGTTTGCTTAAGATAATGGTTTCCAGCTGCATTCATGTTGCTGGAAAGGACATGATTTTGTTCTTTTTTATGGCTGCGTAGTGTTCCATGGTGTATGTGTACCACAGTTTCTTTATCCAGTCCACTGTTGATTGGCACCTGGGTTGATTCTATGTCTGCTATTGAGAATAGTGCTGTGATGAACATATGTGGGCATGCGTCTTTTTAGTAGAATGATTCATTTTCCATGGGTATATATCAGCAGTTGATGTTGGCTATTTATCTTATATCTTGTGAGCACAATAGTTGACAGGCAGAGACAGACAACAATCAAATAAACAAATGTAGAGTAATTAAGGCCACTGATTTTGAAATGGAAGAGTTCTGGGTTTCAATCATGGTTCAGCTTCTTAACAGCCATGCAACTTTGGGCAAGGCACTTAAACTTGTAGAACTCCCATTTCCTCACCTGTAAAAGGGAAATTTAAAATGTGAGTACTCTGAAGATTAAAGGGGATAACTCAGTGATGCTTAGTATACAATCCCCAGTCCCCAGCATAGAGCCACTACTATTCTTCTTAAAGGTGTTTTGTAACCTAAGAGTGCCCCTATATCATTGAAACACCCTGGTTGGGGTCTTACCTTGAGATAGATCACTGAAGATTTTAGATAGAATTGTCAGAAAACACAGGAAAGTAATATGCCATGTGACAGGCCCTTGAGACCTGGGGAGAGCTGGTCACCTGAGGTCTTAGGACAGAGCAGAGATGGACAAGTTAGGGACACAGGACCATAAACATGACCTGGAGCCATGCTAACACGCTGCCTCTGCTAAGCTCTCTGCTATGGTTTGATGTATGATTAAAAAACCCCTGTGCCTGAGGGTTTCTCAGCTAAACGAGTTCTCCTCATCATTGCATTCTGCCCTGTTTATCCTTGGTTATTGAAACCCATATATGCGTGATGTGCTGTAATAGGTCAACCATGAACACCTTATCCGGCTAAAATCCAATCTTGCCAGCCAGTGACCCATCTAGGAAGCTTGTGTTCTTCCCCACCTTCTTTTGCATTCTCTCAGAAGCACAAGCATGTCAAAAAGCACTTTCTTGACTATTAGCAAGAAAATAACTTTCTCGACTTCTAACGGACTGATCATCGACTGTGTTCTGCTGGCAAACTGGAGCTGAAGCACACATGAATGAACGTTTGCCTTAAAACGTCAGTCACTGAAAGACAGCCTTGGAGCCGTGCTGATGACCTGTACCTGGCCCTGCTTGTGTCATTCATGAAGGTTTCCTTGTCCTGATAGAGAAACTGAAACCCCCATGCCAGCCCACATTTGCCCAAAGCAGCAACGGGGATACTCATCACACCATCATGTCCCATCTTATCTTTTTTCTTAGTTTAAAAATGATTCCATTTCTACAGGATCAGTACTTACTTACGAGGGGAGCAGGGCTAATGCCCTTGACTTAGTTGTACTGACTCCTCATTAGATGGGGAATGTGTCAGTATTTTCAGCAAACCTTGAATGTGATGAAACATTTGCTAAACTGTCTCCCAGTTTCAGAACAAGCTAACACACTCAGGGGCTCTATTTACAGCAATTGGGTGGAGTCAGGAGTGGGAACACGTCTTGCACTGTCACCTTGATTAACAATAGCTCTGACTTGTGGGAGGACGGTCAAGTCCTGTCTCCTGTAACATGGGGCAGTGATGGGTCAGGGTCATGGCTCCTGCATTTGGGTGAAGCCTTCTCATCACTTTTAGACAAACAAGTGCAGGACGACCGCAGGCCTCCCCACTTCCATCAGCATCCTCCCAACTCCCCCTGACGTCCCTCATGAAGCTCCCCACTGATTCAGAGATCTCGTCCTGAGGGGCTAAAAGAAACATTCATTAACCCATCTAGAAAGTCATGAATAATTCATGAATTACATTGAATTCATCCCTAGTATAACTATCTTCAGAAATTCAGACTTGGTAACCCATTAAAACATCAAAATAGTCAAAGATATTTATATCCACAATGAGTTCTTAATAAATGCCCAATACAGAACAATATAAATTAAACCAAAAAAGTACAAATTTTGTGCATTGACAGGGGATGTGGGGGGAATATAGCATGTTTGTGTGTGATCAAAACTTTTTATCAGCTTTAAATAGCCTATCATAACTATAAATTTTTAAATGTAAGCTCCAGAGTAACCAAAGAGAAAAAAATTATACCACCAGATATGTCAATGAAATAAAGGAATCAAAGCTTATCAGTACAGAAACTCACCAAACCATAAAGGAAACAATAAAAGAAGAAACAAAAGATCTACAAAACAACCAGAAAATAATTAACAAAATGACAGAAGTAACTTCAGATATAGAGTGGCCGAATGGTTTTTCATACATGTTTCCCTAGTCCAGACACCCAAGAGTATGTCCTTCTCTAGGGCATAAGAAAATCTAGAGTTATATTTAGGATATCATAATGTGTGGGGAAGAGTGGACCGAGCTGGCATGCTCACAATGACCAAATTATGTTGGTCACATTTTAATCCAATACATTGATCCACAATTAACTTGTAAATAAATAAAGTACTTGCTTTCTAGACACATTCCAGGAAGACCAGAGAAACTGACTTTTATCTATATGGAATAATCCACTGGCAAATTTCTTTTAGGATAGACCAAAGCTGATCTAGAACATAATCTTTACATAGCTGGATCCTTCCCATCAGATGAGAAAGAACATCTGGGTTGAAAGGCTCCATTAGAAGAGCAATGTGGGATGGTGCTGTGCTGACAACTGGTAGTCCCTGCCCTACATCTTTGTAGAGGACTGGAGCCCAGAGTGGGCCATGGTCAACTTATATGTTGAAGTGAAGACCTCCTTCTAGTTGTGCATGTGCTTATTACAGATATGCCACGGTGCAAAGTACCCCAGGACTACAGGAATAAATAAGAATACGTGCTGTATCCATGATCATGAGGCACACAGGCCAGAGTGCCAGCTGTGGAATAGCACAGCTCGGGTCCAAAGCCTGGCTGGGCCATGACCACCTGAATGACCTGAGTAATGATCTCAGACAAATTTGTAAAAAGAAGTGGAGGCCCTGCCTGCCAGCGGGCTATGCGGTAAGAGGCAGCATCCAGTCAGGTCAGGGCACCGTGTCCTCTCCTTGGAAACCTGTGCAGCGAGGCTGGAGGTCCTCAAGGCCACGGCAGCCATGGAGAAGGCGGGCCTGGCTCCAGGCGGCGCAGAGGCACTGGACAGGTCCTCGGGGGGAGCCTGGCGGGATCTGGCTCGTCCTGCGCTCTGCTTCCAGGTTCTGGCCCTGTAAACCGACGTATAGGGCCAAGACAGGGCCATTATGTGTCAGCCAGTGCCTGGGTCAGGCGCCAGGCAGGAAGGACTCTGGCGGATCAGCCCCACAATGCCCACAGCCCTACAGGGTGGCCCATCCAGGGCCACACACCTGCCCCCAGGAGCAGGACGTCCCTGAGGCTAGAGAGTCCAGCTGGACCGGTGGAGGGGCCTCATCCTTTGCCCTTTGACTCCTCTTGTAGGCGCCCTCACTGGGCACCTGCACACTCCTCCACACCCTGGCTCTGTCACCAGTCCTATTGTGATGTCATAAGCTCCCAGGTGCCCAGTGCGCACCCAGCCACAGAGAAGTGGGTGACTTAGGAGTATCCTCTCCACTTCTGACCCCTAGTTTCGTCCGCGCACAACTTGCTCAAAATGGGCAACTCGCTAAGCATATTTTGTTCCTGGTTCCGCCGCAGGTCCCGGCGAGGCCGTCGGCAACGTGCTCGTCTAAACGTATTTTGTTCCTGGTTCCAGCGCAGGTTCTGGCCACACCATTGGCATCGTGCTCGTCTTGTCTGTGAGGCCTTCCCAGCTGGCTGGGCTCACCCTGCGGCTCCTGCACCTATGCCTGCCCCTGGAACCCTGGGCTGTTCCCGATTCCTCTTCTACCCTCAGCGACATCCTGGGCCTTCTTTTCCAGCCAGGTGGGACGGCGCCCCTACGAGGCTGTGTCTTCTCCCTCAGAACAGAGGCACCCCACGGAGGGTCCCGCCTCCTGTGGTCTGGAGCCCCCCCTCAAGGAAGAAACCCGTGCTGTCTGCTCGCAACTCCATGATGTTCGGACACCCCAGCACCGTGAGGATCCCTCCTCTCAGATGCAAGTTTAACCTCCAACTGCCTTCATTAGATGAGCAGGTGATCCCAGCCAGGCTCCCGAAGACAGAAGAAGAGCCCGAAGAACCAATGGAAGTGGATCAGGTAGAGACCCAGGGGCAGGAGGATGAGAAAAGGGGCCCCCGTAGCAATGAGGAAGCAGCTTCCACCTCTAGGCCCCTGGAGACTCAGGGAAACCTCACTTCCTCCTGGTGCAGTCCCAGGCCCTTGGAGGGAAATGTCCATCTCAAGAGCTTGACAAAAAAGAACCAGAGTGACAAGGCCCAGGTGCATGCAGTGAGTTTCTACTCCAAGGGCCATGGAGTCTCCAGCTCACACAGCCCTGCTGGAGGCATCCTTCCCTTTGGGAAGCCTGACCCAGCTCCAACAGTGCTCCCTGCCCCAGTTCCAACAGTGCTCCCTGCCCGAGTTCCAGCAGTGCTCCCTGCCCGAGTTCCAGCAGTGCTCCCTGCCCCAGTTCCGGGCTGCTCCCTGTGGCCAAAGAAGGCGGCCTTGAAGGTGCTAGGTAAAGACCACCTGCCCAGCTCTCCAGCGTTGCTTATGCGGGGGAAGGACATGCAGCGCAAAGATCCTCCAGCTCTAGGATCAAGTAGCTCTTCTCCACTCAGAGCTGCCGGCCACGAGTCCCGCAAAAGAAAGCTGTCAAGGTCACCGCTGCCGCTGCCACCGACCCCTCCCCTGCAACTGAGGTGGGATAGAGACGAGCTGCCCCCACCCGCTAAGCTTCCCTGCCTGTCTCCTGAGGCACTGTTAGAGCTGGGTCAGGCTTCCCAAAGGGAAGGACGCCTCCAGCTGGGCAACATGGATAAGAACATGGGGGTGTTAAGTAGAACATCAAAATCCAGGAGACGAAAACAGCCCCTTGGGAGGAGAAAGAAGATACGGCAGCGCAGGCGCCGTGGCTCACGCCTGTAGTCCAGCACTCTGGGAGGCCGAGGCGGTGGATCAGGAGGTCAAGAGATCAAGACCTGAGGAGCATCTCTGCCTGGTCCCTGTACCATCTGGGAAGTAAGGAGCGCCTCTGCCCGGCCGCCTCACAGTCTGGGAAGTGAGGAGGGCCTCTGCCTGGCCACTGCTGGGTCTGGGAGGTGAGGAGCGGCTCTGCCCAGCGCCACCCCCACACCCCACTGTATGGGAAGTCAGGAGGGTCTCTGCTTGGCCGTCTGACAATCTGGGAGGTGAGGAGCACCTCTGCCTGGCCACCAACTTGTCTGGGAGGTGAGGAGCGGCTCTGCCCAGCGCCACCCCCCGACCCCACTGTATGGGAAGTGAGGAGCACCTCTGCCTGGCCACCAACTTGTCTGGGAGGTGAGGAGCGGCTCTGCCCAGCGCCACCCCCCGACCCCACTGTATGGGAAGTCAGGAGGGTCTCTGCTTGGCGACCTCACAATCTGGGAGGTGAGGAGCACCTCTGCCTGGCCATCAACTCGTCTGGGAGGTGAGGAGCACCTCTGCCCAGCGCCACCCCCCCCACCCCACTGTATGGGAAGTGAGGAGGGTCTCTGCCTGGCCACCAACCCGTCTGGGAGGTGAGGAGCGGCTCTGCCCACCCACACCACCGTCTGGGAAGTAGGGAGCCTCTCTGCCCCTGCTGCTGTGCAACCCTCCAAGTGTGAAGTGACATCCTTGTGTGTGATATTTCTGCCTTCCCCAAGTTTGCATTTTCGACATTAAAGTTTACATTTATTTATTTATTTATTTATTTATTTATTTATTTATTTTTAGACGGAGTCTCACTCTGTCGCCGGGGCTGGAGTACAGTGGCGTGATCACAGCTCACTGCAAGCTCCACCACCGGTGTTCAAGCGATTCTCTTGCCTTAGCCTCCTGAGTAGCTGGGATTGTGGCACACACCACCATGCCAGGCTAATTTTTTTTTTTTTTTGTACTTTTAGTAGAGACGCAGTTTCACCATGTTGGTCAGGCTAGTCTCAAACTCCTGACCTTGTGATCTGCCCACCTCGGTCTCCCAAAGTGCTGGGATTACAGGCTTGAGCCACCACACCCAGCTCAAGTTTACTTTTTAATTAAAAAATAAAAAATAATAAAAAACGACAACAAGAAAACAGACAGATGGAGACGGTCCTGGACAACACGGTGAAACACCTTCTCCACTGAAAATGCAAAAATTAGCCAGGCGTGGCGGCGGGCGCCTGTAGTCCCAGTTACTTGGGAGGCTGAGGCAGAAGAATGGCTTGAACCTGGGAGGCGGAGGTTGCAGTGAGCCGAGATTGCACCACTGCACTCCAGCTTGGCGACAAAGCGAGATTCCGTCTCAAAAAAAAAAAAAAAAAATAGTAAGACATGGGAAACTGCAGTGCCACCCAGCCTGCCCCTGCTGTCTCCACACCTGCTGAGACTCCCTACCCTTGGCCACCTACACTTCACAGATCCCGGCTCCTCCTCCTACCTCTGACTTGACCCACGTGGCTGCTGGGTCCCTCACCCTGCCTGTCCCTCCACCTTTGCCCACACCAAGAATTGAGTAAAATTTGATAGCCATAATTCCTAACTCTCCCCCTGGCTCCTCCTGCTGACCTTACCCCCATTTTGGGGGTTCGGCCTTATGAGAAAGGAGGCTGCTCTCATTCAGCTACAGTTTCAGTGCCTCTGACCTCTCACCCCTGCCCAATACCTCCTAGCCCCGCATCTTTCTCCTTCCAGCCTCCCTTCAGAAGGTAGCCTCCTACACCCATATGTGTGCATTCCTCTCCTCCTCTTTCTTCCCCTACTCCTCTTCCAGCCCCTTCCACTGGGATCCCTGCTATCACCCATCAGCTGTTGAATTCCACAGCAGCCATTTCCACCATCACAGCAAGGGCATCTGACCACCTGACCTTGCAGCCCCCTTTAGGCCCTCAGCTCTTTGCTATGGACATGACTCCCGCTACTAACGCTGTGGCTTTCAGATCTTCACCAAGCTCCAGAGTGAGCAGTCTCTTAATTTCCCAAATTCAATGCACAGTAGAGGCACCCTGGAAAGACATCGGCCTCCGTCTGCCTGGCTACATTCATATTCTCCAGCCCCACCCCTCGGCCCACACTCGGGGCCCCCTGATGGGCAGCAATGAAAAGCCTGTGTCCCCAGTGCCCCTGTTTTTCCGAGCCTTCCCATCAGGGCTCCTCCAGGCACCTCCAGTTTAGGGAGCCGCACCTCTGCAACATCCTCCCCCAGAACAGATGGTAGGGACGGCACCACAACTCCTGCGACTGGACACAATTAGGGTTCTCATTCAGAAAGAGCACCTGAGGCCCACTGGTACACACAGGTGGTACGATGGGGAACAAATAAGAAGCAAGTCTCCCTCCACATATGGTCCCCATGAATGGACATTCCTCCTGGAGGAAGGGGCTCAGTCCCTTGAAGTTAAATTTAAGCTGCTCTCTCCTTATAGAAGCCAGAGGCCCAAAACCTCAAAGTGTGTGTATGTCTGTGTGTGTGTGCCTGTGTGTGTGTGTCTGTGTGTGTGTGTCTGTGTGTGTGTGTTGGAGGGTGTGGGACTGATGAGCCCAATCAGAACCACAGTGTGTTTGAGACACTCCCCTGTGGGCAGAAGCAGCAGCCAGCTTGTCATCATCAGCTGTGCCCTCCCCGGCTTGACTGTTAATCTGGCTGACCCGAGTCCCCAGCCAGGTCTCTCTTCTTTGAACTGGCAGGATGCCCGCTGCTCTTTACAGGTGCCCGTCTTCCCCTTGCCCATTTACTTTGATGGGCCCTTCTCTCTCCTGATTGTGTGTATTAAAACCTTATTCTTGTTGCTCTGCCTCTGCTCATGTGTCTATATATTTTATAATATATATAATGTATTTTAATTTTTTATTAAATATTATATGTATTAATTATATGTAACCTGAAAACTAGATATAAAGAATGTAGGCATATAGATATCTGGCAACAATGAAACCGAAAGAAACTTGCAGATCAACAAATGTAGGGACCTCATAAAATTCAAATGACAATTTTAATGTAATGGAACAAAGGCAGAACAGTCACTCCCCTCCACAGTGAGAAAATGGAGCTCCCTGCCCACGTGCAGACTCTGCTGAGATCCGCCTGTTGGCGCCATGCTTTGCAGTAACTGGATGCTTCCACCACTTGTTCCTATGTAAGTTACACAGAGGCTTCCTTTGTACATCCTGTAATGAAATCTTTTGGCCTTCACTTGGTGAGGACACAATATTTCATATTAACTCCCTGTGCATTCTTTTTTTAAAAAGAATTTCTCTATAACAAAGAAAATGTCACACCCTGGCATAAAAAAAAAATGTTAAATAGATTAAAATGCAGGCCTTGAGAGGGTATGGAAGCTCTCTGTTAAGTCAATCATCTAAATGAACCAAAATATGTTGATCTTCATCGGTTATTCACATCTCCAGCAATATGACACTGTAGGCATCTGATCTCCTCCATTAACATTTTATTTACAAAATCAGGCTTCAGGCCAACGCTGAGTGAGTGCTGCTGAGTGACTCAGCCCCTACAACCGGAAGCATAAACTTCAGCCCTGACCACAGCAGAGGAAAGGCTGGTGCTCCCCTCACCTTGAGTGCTCATTTGATGGAGAAGGGCTGGGCCTGGGCCCTACCCATCACAGTGCTGGTCCTAGTCCCTGCCCACACATGGTCTGATCTTCTGTGATCATGCAGTATGAAGGTACTAGAGCTCAAGGATTGCATCTAACTCCTGCACCCTGGATCCCTGCCAGATGTCTATATGCTGGCCCAGAAGGCTATGTGCCCTGGGGACTTAGAAAGTTCACATGATTCAGCTGGGCGCAGTGGCTCACGCCTGTAATCCCAGCACTTTGAGAGGCCGAAGTGGGCAGATCAACGGAGGTTGGGGGTTCGAGACCAGCCTGATCAACATGGTGAAATCCCGTCTCTACTAAAAATACAAAATTAGCCAAGCATGGTAGCGGATGCCTGTAATCCCAGCTAGCTACTCAGGAGGCTGAGGCAGGAGAACCACTTGAACCTCGGAGGCGGAGGTTGTGGTGAGCCGAGATCGTGTCATTGCACCCGAGCCTAAGCGAGACAAGAGCAAAACTCTGTCTCAAAACAAAACAAAACAAAACAAAACAAAACACCAGAAAGAAATTTCATATGATTCCTGTCTCTATGAGCTTCTCCTGATAAACACATCTCCAGTAACCTCAGGGCGGGCAGGGTGGGGGAGTACGGGGCGATCATATTTTCAGGGCATTCCTTATTGATGCAAGACACTGAGAACCACTACATAAAATATTTGAAAAAGTTTACTGCAATGATATTTGAAGAACCTATATAAAATAACTAAACAAACATAAAAACGTAATTGAATTTTACTTGAATATGTTCACAGTATAAACTTTAAAGTATATAAAATGAAAATGATAAGAAGAACACGTGCAAACACTTGGAAATTAAAATGTACATTTTTAGGCTGGACACGGTGGCTCACGACTGTAATCCCAGCACTTTGGGAGGCCAAGGCAGGTGGATCACCAAGTCAGGAGTTTGAGAACAGCCTGGCCAACATGGAGAAACCACGTCTCGACTAAAAATACAAAAATTAGGCAGGCATGGTGCCACGCACCTGTAATCCCAGCTACTTGGGAGGCTGAGGTAGGAGAATCACTTAAACCTAGGAGGCGGAGCTTGCAGTGAGCCAAGATCGCGCCACTGCACTCCAGCCTGGGCAACAGAGCGAGACTCTGTCTCAACAACAACAACAACAAATGAACATTTTTAAATTGATTAAAGAGGAAGTTCTGAGGAAAATTTAAAAAGGCATAGAACTGAATTAATATAAAAATAAAATATATAAAATGTGATAAGATCCTGATAAAGCATTGCTAGTGGAAAATTAAATGGCATTGAATGCTTATATTTGAAAAAACAAAGGTCTAAAATCAATAATATACGCTTTCACATAAAGAAACCTCTCTAGAAAGGGCGAAATAAAACAGAACCATGAAGAAGGAAGGAAATAATAAAACACTATAACCAAGAAGAATTTTTTCCAGAAACGTAAGGCTGGTTCAATACTCAAAAATTATCAGTGTAATCCACTATATTAACAATTTAAAGGAGAAAACAAAAATGGTCACATCAATTAAGGCGGAAAAAGCATTTGGCAAAATTCAACATGACTTATGTTAAAAATTTTTAGCAGACTAAGAATAGAAGCTCACAACCTCAACCTAATAAAGAACACCTACAAAAAACCAAAAGCTAACATCATGCTTAATGGTGAAAGAATTAATGCTTTTCTCCTAAGTTCCAAAATGAGGCCAGAAGGTCCTTTCTCATCTTCTTTTCAACTTAGGACTGTAGGTCCTAACCAGTGCAGTATGACAAGAAATGGAAATGAAGACATACAGGTTAGAAAAGAAGAAATATTACCATTAATATTGATGGATGACATGATTGCCTATATAGAAAATATCAAGGAATCTGCAAGAAAACTCTTAATAAATGATGATATATTACTTTATCAAAGTCTAAGGATACAAGAGCAATATACAAACATGAATCATATTTCCAAATACTAACAATGAACAACTTGAAACAAAAACTAAAAACAATGTCATACACAACAGTTCCCCCAAATTGAAATATTTTGGATGTAAATTTTAGTGTGATAAAAGCAAGATTAATTATAATGAAAGGAACCAAACAAGACCTAAATAAGTGGAGAGACATACTACTTTCATAGATTGGAAGACTCAGTATTGTAAAACATCAACTCCCAACATTTGTTTTTTTCAATATAGAGAAGCTTATTCCAAAATGTGTATGGAAAGGTAAAGAAATTAGAATAGCTAAAACAATTTTGGGAAGACAGAATAAAGTTGGAGGATATTAAGACTTGCCATAAAGCTATAGTATAAGACAGTGTGGTACTGTGGAAGAACAGATATATCGTTCAATGAACAGGGTAAAAGAGTGCAGAAACTGACACACACAGAAACAAAAAACTGATATTTCACAAAAGTAGAAAAGCACTATAATGGAAAAAGGAATTGTATTTCTAACAAATACACAAGTTAACTAATATCAATAAAAAGTTTACTGCAATGATATTTGAAGAACCTATATAAAATAACTAAACAAATGAATCATAGATTTAAATGTACACTTTAGTACACTTTTAGTACCTTTTAGTTCCCTTTTTTGGGTTGAAAGCGAGACATGATACACTGGGCAAAAGGAACAGAGGTAAAGAGGTCGTTTGTGTAAGGCTCTGTGTTTATCTAGCTGGTAGTTAGACTGTCTTTACTGTTTGGTGTTGCTGTAGGTGTCAGAGGCAAAATTTACTCTTGTATCCTTGTTAGTATCTCCCCTGTTGTCTTTGAGTTTCCCTAGAGACTCCTTATTAAATAAGTGCTGAGACAGTCAATTCCTTCCATTATAATTCCCTTATTATACAAAAGTCCTACTGACGTGGTGGTGAGGTGCTTATATGGGAGAAGAAATGTTCCATAGTCCTGTGATTAGGTCGCAGGCACAGTGCACAGTGAGCCTATGCTCCCAGGCTGTGACCTGCACACGTGCTTCTCAGTAGCCCGTGTCCCTGGTGGGACAGGAAGGCACAGGGAACTGGAGTTTAACACGTCTCTTTCCCGAAGTCAGTTAGGTTCGGATAAAACCCCAATACATTAGGCTCTGCTAAAAATAGTTTCTCTTAAGGATAGGCTTTAGGAAAGTAGAACTAATGTTCTGCTCTTATTTCAAAATGGTTACTTTTCCCATCGTCCTGTCAAAATCAGGAGGGGATTTTTCTCTGATCTACACCCTGAGAATCCGGTAAGGCTACTGAAGGTAAAACTCCTGAAAGTTGAGGCTCTCCTAAGACTGGATGTGGAGTTTTTAACTGTCAAGCTCATCCACGTTGAACCTTCAGCACTTTGACAATTACAGTTTTTAGGTTTTCCTACCCCAGGATTGGCTCCAATGGCCAGCTTTTACATCTCAGCTTCCCTTCAGATTAACTGGGATTCTCTGTATCTGCCTGTCTCCAGTTTTGAGGATCGTAGTTTGCCCTGTGACCTCAATTCTCTGATGGATCTAAGAAGAGTTGTTGATTTTCAGTTTATTCAGCTTTTTTTTTTCTTGGTTTGAGAGTGGGAGTGATGACTTCCAAGCTTCTTATACTCAAGTCGTTCATTGATCTTGGTTCATTTCATTTCCCTCCCATAGCTTGTCTGGGGATGACTTTGGCAACAAAAGTAGCAGCCCATGCCAGGGCACCATCTGGGAAAAGAGGGTGGCCCTGATCATGCCTCTAGGGCCCCTCCATGCCCCACTCCAGTCTCTCTCTTCGGGAGTGGATATCTGAGGCTCACTTTGTGGACAGGTCAGAGTAAGCCTCCCTCAGGTGTCTGAGGCTTGGATAACAGGCGTCTTGGGTGCAGTCTGTGGGACTGGAAAGAACAGTGTTTGAGCTCTCTCAAGAGAGATCTGAGTTTCAATTTCTGTTTCACTACATACTACTCACGATATCTTTAAAAAGCCACTCAACCCTGGCCAGGCGCGGTGGCTCACGCCTGTATTCCCAGCACTTTGGGAGGTGGAGGTGGGCAGATCATGAGGTCAGGAGATTGAGACTATCCTGGCTAACATGGTGAAACCCTGTCTTTTCTAAAAATACAAAAAATTAGCCGGGCGTGGTGGCAGGTGCCTGTAGTCCCAGCTACTTGGGAGGCTGAGGCAGGAGAATGGCGTGAACCCGGGAGGCGGAGCTTGCAGTGAGCGGAGATGGCGCCACTGAACTCCAACCTCAGCAACAGAGCGAGACTCCATCTCAAAAACAAAAAAAGCTACTCAACCCCTACAGGCTGCAGTTTATCTTTACAAAGAAACTAAACCAGGATAAGGATACTGAGCACTTACGTTGGTTTCAAGTAATAGGGAAACTGTGTGGGAACGGAGACTTGGTTGATCTGTCGTGTGGACTAGGTTATGTATCCCCCTCCTTCGGTTTAGAGGCCTGAAAGCATCCGGGAGGACAGGAAATCACCTAACCCCTGGAATGAGGTGTGTAACAGGCAGGCCCTCAGGACACAGCCAGCCTGCAGCTGCCACAAAGGAGAAGAATAGTGGCTCTGGGGCCAGTGGAGTGGCTAATACTCTAAACAGAACTGCCCAAGCTCCCCCAGCCTCGTGGAGAACATGCGTGGAGCACATGCTGTCTTGGTAACTCACTGACCTCTCAGAGTCCTGAGCAGCCCTGCTGTGAGACCCCATAACTGAGCTTACCACCAGGGGAGGCAGCACTTTCTCTTCCACTTCCAGAGACCGCTGAGCTCCAAGGCTGGACACTATTAGCGGACATATTACTAGGCATAGCAGTACCTCAGTGGTGGAACTCTGATCAGAGGCAGGACTGCTGGAAATGCCCCTACAGGAGTGGATACTTTGCAGACACTTTCTTCAGGCCTTACAATATTATTTTGGGATGAGAGTTCCTGCATGAGTAATAGAGGGTTTAAGCCGTGAGGTCCTGGTGTTGACGTGTGTGTGAGTCCATCTGTGCCCCTTGCCTGTGAGGGTACAGGAAATGTGGCCAATACCAAGACTGGGGACAATGTGCACTGGACCTTTTGGATGGTGCCTTGTCCACATGGACATGTGCTAAATGGGAGCTCTCCCGTTTTCTTGTGGCCTCTGAAGGCTGGGGGTAGGCTGTGCTGAGACTTCTAGGAGTCCTGCTGGCTGCACAGGGCTGTGTCCAGCAGGCTTGCAGGAAGGACGGCCTAGGACACTATTTTGAGGCTTATTGCTGGGGCGCTAAACCCTGGGTCAGCTAAGTAAATAAGGTAATACCAGGCCCTACCACCTGGAGGAGTGCAGACTTTCTGGGGCAGGGTTCGCCAAGGGCCTTGGACAGGAAGGAGCAGGTTGATGCGGGACTGGGGGCTGGGGAGATGGGCAGTGGGTCAGGTGCCTGCAGACGTGGGGAAAGCAGGGCCTATGGGACAGGTGAGGAGGAGCAGGAATTGTTCCTAGGAGCAGAGATCTCAGCACGGCTGACCTAGACCTCGGCTTTTGGCCTGGCATCGGGACCCTTTTCCATCGGCTTCTGTCAGTCGTTCCCAGACCCTCATGTTTTGAAAGCACTCTAGCTGCAGGCTGGAACCCTCTTCTCCTGGCTGGGATCCTGCTCCTCAGTCCTGCTCCATTACTTGGTGCACCAGCCACTTCCCTTCCCTGTCTCCACTGGGAGTCGAACCTCCCCCTCCATGCCCCAGGAGCACTGTTCCTCTGCTTCAGAGAAGCCCTTGCTCCCTGGCACTGTGGACACCAGGTGTGGTTTCAGCTCCTCTGAAGGCCTGGGTGCTTCCTGGGGCAGGAGCAGTGTGAATGCAGACTGACCCCTTCCCTCCCAGCTGGTGGCCTCAGCTCCCTCAGCATCCCTAGTGACCCCCACCCCGGCTTTCCTCCTAGGAGCCCACAGTTGAGATTCTCTCTGTGAGGTCGCAGGTTTCTGCCCTGGGAGTCAGACAATGAATCCTATGGAAAAGGCAAGCACTAAGGAGCAGGAGGGGCCTGGGATGGCGGTGCGGGGTGGAGGAGGAGCAGATGACTTTTATTGGGTTTGGTTTTGTGTTGCCAAGCTTGATTTGGGGAATGGCAGTTGACAGACAGAAAAGCCAGGATTAGGAACCATTTAGAGGGACAGTGGGCTGGGGAGAGGGAGGGTCCAGCATGGACACCCAGGCCTGAGCAGAGAGAAGGGGTCAAGGGGCTCTGTGGTCATCACAGGGTCTGCCATGGGGCCTTGAGAGTAAGTGGCAGCAGGAGCCAGGTGTGTGGCAGCACAAGGGCTGCGCAGGGCCCAGGCAGGCCAGCAGCCCTCAGAGGCTTGGGTGGAGAGCGGGTGTGAGGAGCCAACGCGGGGTCAGGAAGAGGGGTGAGCCTCATGACTTCGTCGATCCAGTTGGTGAAGTAGGTGACCCTGGTGAAGATGCTGGGGTAGGCAGGATGCCAGCAGTCCAGGCCCCAGCTGGCCAGCCCAACCAGGACCCAGGCACTGGGGAGGTAGCAGACTAGAGGCCCCCCGGAATCACCCTGCGGACAAAGAAAGAAGAGTCAGCTTTGGGGGCTGAGTGTGTCTGAGACACCGGGTGGCACAGTCGGATGCTCTGCCTCCGCTCTCTGAGTCAGGGTCCCGCTGCAGACCCACCAGATAGAAATCTCCAGGCATCAAGCTCCTGAGCCGACCCTCAGGACAATCATGGACCTGAATCTATTAGCACGTGAACCCACCCTCTGCCCTCTACACCCGGAACAACACACTGCTTGAGGCCTAGAGGGGACAGCTGTATGTACAGGGCCTGAGAGGAGCTGAGTCTGCTGGCAAAGTGCAGCCAGCTGAAAGCTCTGCGCAGAGCACAGCTCTTGTGAACCCTAAGCTGCAGCAGAGCATCCCCTCCGGGGCCCCCTTCCTTTTTTTGTTCATTTGGGCCTTTGGTTTTCTCTCAACTTTTTGGTAAAGTATCTTTAGAAAGTGCCCATGCCCAGGCCCCGTGGAGACAGTCCACATCACTAGGGAAGCAGGCAGCGGTCTCCAGAAAGTTGCTGGGAGTTACTGGAGTCCTGAAATGCTGTCAGGGTGAGATCATGCAGTTGAAAGCCCCCTATATCATGGGCCAAAAAGTGAGACCCAAAGAAAGGGTCTCATCCAGGCATGGTAGTTCACGCCTGTAATCCCAGCACGTTGGGAGGCCGAGACAGGCGGATCACGAGGTCAAGAGATCGAGACCATCCTGGCCAACATGGTGAAACCTCGTCTCTACTAAAAATACAAAAATTAGCTGGGCGTGGTGGCATGTGCCTGTACTCCCAGCTACTCGGGAGGCTGAGGCAGGAGAATTGCTTGAACCCAGGAGGCAGAGGTTCCAGTGAGCCAAGAACATGCCACTACACTCCAGCGTGGCAACAGAGCGAGACTCTGAAAGAAAGAAAGAGAAAGAAAGAAAGAAAGGAAAGAAGGAGGGAGGGAGAGAGGGAGGGAGGGAGGGAGAGAGAGAGAGAAAGAGAGAGAGAGAGAAAGAAAGAAAGAAAGAAAGAAAGAAAGAAAGAAAGAAAGAAAGAAAGAAAGAGAAAGAAAGAAAGAAAGAAGGAAGGAAGGAAGGAAGGAAAGAAGGAAGGGAAGGAAGGAAGGAAAGAAAGGAAGGAAGGAAGGAAAGAAAGAGAGAGAAAGAAAGAGAGAGAAAGAAAGAAAGAGAGAGAAAGAAAGAAGAAAGAAGAAAAGAAAAAGAAAAAAGGGGAAGGGGAAGGGGAAAGGGTCTCATCTTCAGGGTGGTGGGAGGCAGGGCCCACAGCCGGCTCTTCCACCCATTAGTCCAGTGTGCATCTGGGGCATCCAGTGCAGGCACTGCTCTTGGGAAACACGGGGAGAAGACAAACCCCCTCCCCATGGTGCTTAGATAAATAAGCCAACCGACCCTATGGAAGTGGGAGGACATTTCATATCCATGGATCACAAAAAGCTTTCCTGAGCTTACACTGAAAGTAGGAAACAGAACCCACTCTGTGAGGTCCAGAAGAGAGGGCCCAGTTGGTACAAACCAGGAGAGGACGGGGCAAGCCTTGCGGTAGGGAGCGAGCGGGCAGAAGGAGGTCCCAGAGCCACAGAGGGGCAGCTTGGAGAACTGTATGTTGGAGGGTGGGGGACACAGCAGCTGTTTAAACCATCAGTCTGGTGCCATGTAGAGAAAGAATAGTTGCTGAGCACCAGGTAGAGAGGAGGGACCAGGGAGGCAACTACAGGAGGGAAGAAATGGTCAGATTTGGGATGGCATTTTGAAGGAGGAGCCAAAGGACTTGTGGACTCTGGCCTTTTCTCACAACCAGGGAAAAGGTGTGGAGACAAAAGGAAGAAGGCTGAGAACTCGGCTCCGGGGTCTCCAGCACTGAGAGGCTGGGAGGCCCAGCCCACCTCAGGCCCTGTACATACAGCTGTCCCCTCTAGGCTTCAAGCACTGCGTTGTCCCAGGGGTAGAGGGCAGAGGGTGGGTCCACGTGTGATAGATTCAGATCCATAATTATCCACTCCGAGGGTAAGCTCAGGAGCTTGATGCCTGGAGATTTCTATCTGGTGGGTCTGCAGTGGGACCCTGACTCAGACAGCAGAGGCACAGAGCGTCCGACCGTGCCACCTGGTGTCTCAGACACACTCAGCCCCCGCCCCCGAAGCTAACTCCTCTTTCTTTGTGCTCAGGGTGATTCAGGGGGGCCTCCAGTCTGCTATCTCCCCAGAGGCAGCTGGTAGCAAAAAGTGGGAGTGGAGTGGCTGGCGCCTGGCAGCAGGAGCTGAGCGCAACACACGCTGATGTGTCAAGGGAGCAGTGACTCTGGCAAGGCAGAGGCTGCGGACAAAGTGGCTCTGGTGGCATGAGAGGGACAAGCCTGGATTGGGTGATTCAGTGCAGTCAGCCCTGGGAGAAGTCGTCAGGGAAGAAAGGTGGAGAAATGGGCAGTAGCTGGGGGAGATTTTTGCCATGGCTTGACGTGGGAGGCATGAGAGGGACAGCAGGGGACACAGGAGCAGGGGAAAGGCCCTAGCGACCCAGTGCTCAAGGATGGGCTGGCCCAGGGTGAGCCATCAGGGCAAGGGGGAGAGACTGGGCAGATCGGGGTGGGCAGATGTGGGGCCAAGAGGAGCGAGCTTCTCATTGCTTCATCTTCTCCGTTTGATGAGAAGCAAGACAGCACACTGACAGGGAGGGGCCTGGGCTGGGGGAGTGGAGGCCAGGGGAGAGAGAGGGGGTGACATGGTGCCGTCACTAAAGAATGCTCCCGGCCGGGCGCGGTGGCTCAAGCCTGTAATCCCAGCACTTTGGGAGGCCGAGACGGGTGGATCACGAGGTCAGGAGATCGAGACCATCCTGGCTAATACGGTGAAACCCCGTCTCTACTAAAAAATACAAAAAACTAGCCGGGCGAGGTGGTGGCGCCTGTAGTCCCAGCTACTCGGGAGGCTGAGGCAGGAGAATGGCGGGAACCCGGGAGGCGGAGCTTGCAGTGAGCTGAGATCCGGCCACTGCACTCCAGCCTGGGCGGCAGAGCGAGACTCCGTCTCAAAAAAAAAAAAAAAAAAAAAAAAAGAATGCTCCCAAAGACATCCACATTCTCATCCCTGGAACCTGTGACTGTGTTATCTTACATGGCATAGGGGATTTTGCAGCTGGAGTGAAGACTCTTGAGATGGGAGATTATTCTGGAGTGTCTCAGAAGGCCCAACATCATCACAAAGTTCTTTATAAGGGAAGGCAGGAGGCAGGAGGGTCAGAGTCAGAGGAGGAGATATGACAACAGACACAGAGGTCACACTGACAGCTTTGAAGATGGAGAAAGAGACCACGAGCCCAGGAGTGCGGGTGGCCTCTAGAAGTTGGAAAAGGAAATTGAATCTCCTCTAGAGCCTCCAGAAGAAAACCCAACCCTGCTGACACCTTGATTTTAGACTTTTGACCTCTAGAACTGCAAGACAATAGACATCTGTGGTCTCAGCTGCCCAGTTGGTGGGGATTTGCTCCTGCAGCCCTGGCAAATTCATGCCCGGGGTCTTCTTGGGAGTGGAAAGTGCCTTCGCTGTCTCAGATCCGCCCTCAGTGCTTCCCTCCTCGGAGTACCCACCCAGCTTGTTTGAGGGCAAGAGGAGGCCTGGTCCTCCAGACAATGGTCCCTGGCTACTCCAGGCCTCAGCGATCCATGCAGGTGAACCACCTGCTTGCCAACATCACGCTTGATTCTGGGCCAGTCTGGGAGAGATGGGAAGGACTCCAATGGTCTCCTGGCCCTGACCCCGGGAGCTCTGAGTAGGCAGAGGAAGTTCCAACATTAATGACTACTGTGGAGACAGAGGAAGCCACGTGTAACTTGGTGGGCCTGGTGGTGAATTCCACATTGAGTGAAAGGGTAGGTCTAAGATAGGCCCAGAAGAATGAGTGCAACTTAGATAGAGGAAAACAGGCAAGGCCAAGAACATGGAAGCCAACACTTATTAAGCACTTGCTTAATGCCAGGCATGGTGCTACATTTTCTACAGGAACCTTATGAAGTGGAGGCTGTTAGCAAGCCCACTGCACAGGTGAGAAAACTTGGCTAAGGTCACAGCACATGCAAGTGACAGAGTGAAGACTGCAACCAGCTCTGTCCTGCCCGCAGTCTGAGCACTGAGTCACCCTGCAGCTCTGTCTCTCCTCAAAGCTGTTTTTGCGTGCCGCATGCAGGGAAGAGAAGAGAGCCACGGGATGGAGGCGGGGACCACAGCAGACAACTCAGCAGGAGATGAATCCTGATGGAATCTCACAGACAGGCAGTGGTGGCTGAAAGGCTCAGGAGATGTCCACCTCAGCGGTGTTCTCAGCCTAGGCAAGGAACTAGAGGGCACTGTGGGATGTCCGGCAGGCAGGTAAAGTGTGCTGGCCCTGAGGCTCCAGGGACACGGCCTTCGCAAGAGAGGCTGCTGGAGAACAAGGCTGGAAGGGAGCTGGACTAAGGACTTGTTGGCTGAGCTCCACCAGGGCTGGGCATTGGGCAGGCTCCCTTCTCCCCCTGGGGTACAGATGACTCTGTGAGGAGAAGGGGCCAGGCCACAGCCAGAAAGGAGGAACAATAAAGTATGTGGATGTGGACAGGAAACCAAGAAGCCTGGAGCTGGCTCCCGCTGGGCAGGCAGATGGGCCGAGCTCCCTCCCACTACTCAGCTAGCCTGCCTGGCGATATTGAAAACAGTGCTGCCAATGAACCCTTCCCATGGGCCGGGGGATTCAGGGCTCAGACTAGGGGGCAGGAGAGACCTGGTGCTAGTTTTCAATCTATAGTTTTGCTAGCATTGTGGCCTTAGACCATTTCCAAGGGCTTGCCATAACACACTGCCACCACCTTGGTGGCTTAGAAGCAACAGAAATGTATTCTCTCACAGTTCTGGAGGCCACAAATCTGAAATCAGCTTCCAGAATGCCTGTGCTTCCAGGGACACACTACCTCCAAAGGCTCTAGGGGAGGAACCTCCTTTGGCTATTCTGACTTCTGGCAGCACACGCATTCCTTGGCTCGTGGTGGCATCCCTGCCCTCTCCATGTCTGTCCGCACATGGCCATCTTCTCCATGTGTATCTCTATGGCCTCTTCCCCTCTTTTAAGGACACCAGTCATTGAATTTAGGGCCCACCCTAAATCCAGGATGGGTTCATCTTGAGATTCTTAACTAATTACATCCATAAAGATCCTATTTCCAAATAAGGTCACACTCTGAGGTTCCAAGTGGATGCTATCCTTCCAACCACCTCATGGAGGAGGCCTTGGAATCCTGACACAGCTGATGAGGACCCAGGCTCAGGAGGTGAAGAGAATATCCCAGGTCACAGGGCAGGCACATGTGGTGAAGCGATGTCTCTCATTCCAGGGTCCCAGCGCTTTCCTGTCTGCCCCACAGTGGTGTCTATGCAAAAGCTCAGCCCACAGATGCCAGCTCAGGAGGCTACAACCTGTGGGAGAGGTTGTGGAGGCAGGGTTGGCCTTGGAGTCACAACACCTGGGCCCAGGTTGTGCTGCCTCACTTAGACTAACCACTTTTCCTCCCTGGGCCTCAATTCAATGAACTTATGTACAGAATATATAAAGAGCTCCTAGAAGAAAAAGACAGACAACCCAACAGAAAAATGAGAGGAGAAAAAGGACTTGAAGGGAAACTTCATAGAAGATATCTAATAATAATAAACATACAAAAAATTTTAAGCCAAAAACCACTACACACTCACCAAAATGGCCAAAATCAGAAAAGATGAAAAAGAATAAATGTTGGTGAAAAAAGAAGCTCTCATCCTCTGCTAGAGGGAAGGCTGTTTGCCATCCTCTGCCACAGCTGAACACACAGACACACCTTTTTATCTAGCAACTCTACTCATGGGCTTCTATGTAATAAAATATATTCCTCTGTGCCCCAAAGACAAATACAAACATGTACATAGCACAGCTACTCATAATACCTCCAACTTGGAAACTACTCACATACTTATCCAGTGTAGAATTCAGTTCACACAACAGCACGCTATAGAGCAATGAGAAGGAACACACCGTAACAACGTGTATAGTATGGACGAATCTCAGAAATACACTGTTAGGACACGAAAGACTGCTGACTGTAAATTCCACTTACAGGAAGTTCAGAATACAAGGTGTTAAAAGTGAAGATGTTGGTTACCCTTGGGTGTTAGTGATAAGGAGGCACATGGGTGCTTCTAAGGTGCTGGTCACATGTGTCAGTGTAGGAAAGTTCATCAAACTATATACTTATTAATTATGTACTCTCGTGTGTATATATTATGCTTTAATGAAAAGTTTAAAATATATTAAAAAATGCTGTTTGAGGATCCTTCCAGCAGATGTCCCTGCTGCGATGGGCTGGGGAAGGGGCTAGTCTAGGGGAGACTTCTGAGGGATGGAGCCCAGGAGGACACGCAGAGGAGAGGAAACAGGAAGTCCACGGGACTCCACAAAGAGAGCGGAGGCAACACAGAGACCCGTCCCGAGGGAAACTGAGGCCAAGAGAATATGCAAAGGAAGAGTGGAAATGACCTTACTCACTTTGCAGATGGACTTTCCTGTCGAGAAGTCCCCCACACACAGCATCTCCTCATGCACAGCGTAGGTCTCGCCTTGGCCAGTTCTTTGCCCATATAAGGTATTACAGAGTGTGTTCTCAATGAGGCCCACCTTGCCCTCCTGGAGAGAGAAGGGTGGTGACAGTTGCACTGCAGAGATAAGGGGGAGGTCAGTGACATGCCCTGTAGGTTAACTAAGAAAGCTCAGGCTACTCAGAGCCCCTACTCTGCCTGACTGCTAACCACAATCCCCCAAACGTAGGTTTTCTCAGAACTGCTGAGCTTTAAACGCTGCTTCACTCTGCTACCCATCCTTGATAAGCTTCTCTTCTTTTTCTCAAACCTTTGCACATAGTCATCCTATTCCTTCTACCTCTCTCATAGCAATAGATCACACCTCTTATTCTACAAGAGGCAAATCCCACCAACACATGACTCATTTATTGGGACTTAGCAACTATTCACTGACCAACTTATCCTTTCATGAACTGTCCTATCCATTCTCCCTCCATCCATCACTAACCTTTCTTCTCCACCCATCATCCCATCCACTCATTCACCCATTCCTCCATCTACCTATCTTCCCACACATGCCCATTCATCCACTCACTTTTCACACATTTGCCCATCCATCCATCCTTTCATCCATCTCTCCATTGAGCCTTCCATCACTCATCCACCTATCCTGCTCTCCACCTATTGGCACATCCATCCACTTCATCCTTCCCCCCTCACCAATCCTTCTATCTACACATCTATCCAAACATCTGTCTACCAACTCAAATATCATCCATCCATCCACCCATCCATCCACTTATCCCTCCATCCATGCAGTAACCCATCCTTCTATCCATCTATTATCCATCCATTTATCCATCCCTCCATCCATCCATCCACCCTTTTACTAACCCAATCACTGATCTATTCACTCATCTATTCAGCTATCCTGGTGCTGTCTTTTACATGCTAATGATATAGATAATTTTTAGTAGAAAGTGACAGATTATATGAAATAATAAAGAAGTTTAAAAATATTTTAGATTAAGTGATACGAAGAAAATAAAACAGGAAGATGTGATAGAGGGGGTTGCCTATTTTAGCTCATATGATTAAGTAAAACCGAGAAAAAAAAGCTGAATAGTAAATGCAAAGAAGTGATTCATGCAAAGATTAGAACGACAAGCAAGCTAAGAAAAACAAAACAAAACAAAACAAAACAAAAGCAGCTAAAGGCCCGAGATAGAAATAGCCTTGAGATATTCAAGGAGTACCCAGGAGGCCCAAGAGGATGGGGTGGGGTATGTGAAGGCTGCAGTAAAAGATGTGGTATGTAATGGCTGCAGTGAAAAATGAAGAATGGAAAGGGTGCATTGGAAGGTGAGATATGTCATTGACTGCAGCAGGAGATGGGGTATGTGAAGGGTGCAGTTGAGATGGGGGATATGAAGGGTGCAGTGGGAGGTGGGGGATGTGAAGGGTGCAGTGGGAGGTGGGGGATGTGAAGGGTGCAGTGGGAGATGGGGGATATGAAGGGCCCAGTGGGAAGTGGGGGATGTGAAGGGCTCAGTGGAGGTGGGGGATGTGAAGGGTGCAGTGGGAGATGGAGGATGTGAAGGGTGCAGTGAGAGATGGGGGATGTGAAGGGTGCCGTGGGAGGTGGGGGATGTAAAGGGTGCAGTGGAGGTGGGGGATGTGAAGGGTGCAGTGGGAGGTGGAGGATGTGAAGGGTGCTGGGATTGCAGGCGTGAGCCACCAGGCCTGGCCGGGTGTCTGGATTTCATTCTAGGCACAAATGAGAAGTTACTGTAGAGTATTGAACAGGGAAGTGACATGACTAATATTTAAAGTAACACTGACATCCACGTGGAGCCTAAAGTTGGGGCACAGAAGAATGGAAGCTGGGTGACCAGTTCTGAAGTTAGAGGCAAGAAATGCTGGTCTATCAGTGTCATGCAGCACAATGGTACCAGCCCAGGAGCGCCAGTTGGGATATTAAAACAAGTATATATTGCTTCTACCCTCAAGTCATAACCAGTTGTGTGTGTGAATGCTGGGAGCCAGCCAGCAGATGATCAGGGAAAGCCCCCTCCATCTAGTAGTCAAAGGTCATGGATGCTGGCAGAGCCCCACTCAGTGAAGACATATTCTATCAAAAATACATACAGCACCTCTGTTGAGAAATACTGACCCTACACATAATTAAACATATGTTCTTCCTTTTTCCCCTTAACATCATACTATAAGCATTTCCCTAAACGATAAACACTCCTTTCTTCAATAAACACTCTTGTGTATAAGTCTTTGCCTACATTTCTTTTCTACCCATCTAACAGTGAAAACACACACGACTCTCTCCTCCGTTATTCAGTCACGTCACAAGACTGTGAAGTAGATGAGTGGCCCAGGTTAGGATAAGAGCAAAGTGAGGTTCAGAGGTGGTCAACAGTTCTACGTCGCAGTCATTCTAACGGGATCACGCAGCCTCCGAGTGCAGAGGCACCACGTGTTTTCTCTCCACTCTTCCCAAGCACCTTCCCAAGCAAGGGACGATCCAAGTGTGTGGTGGTGACCTAGAATGGGCCAGCCCCCAAGCATGTCTTTGGAGTTCAGTCGAGTCATCTCAGACCCATGACTGTTTAAAACCTTACAAGAGTGGCTCACGCCTGTAATCCCAGCACTTTGGGAGGCCAAGGCGGGCAGATCACCTGAGATCAGGAGTTCAAGACCAGCCTGACCAACATGGAGAAACCCGGTCTCTACTAAAAAGACAACATTAGCCAGGCTTGGTGGTGTACGCCTGTAATGCCAGCTACTCGAGAGGCTGAGGCAGGAGAATCGCTTGAACCGGGGAGGAGGAGGTTGCAGTGAGCCGAGATCATGCCACTGTACTCCAGCCTAGGTGACAGAGCGAGACTCCATCTCAATAAATAAATAAATAAATAAATAAAACCTTAAAATGAAGAACCACGAAGACTCAAAGAACCCAGATTCTGGATTCTCAAAAGTTTAAGATTCCCAGACTTTCAGAGCCTGGGACTCAAAGCTATGGGATCACACTTTCAGAACTAGAAGGGCCGCAGTGTGGTGGTCCTCACCTTACCGGTCATGGAAATGAGGCACAGAGGGCCAAGTCCAGTGGCTTCCTCTTTGCCTGGCTAAGCCATCCTTCCTTCTTCCCCTTCACCTCCCTCTCCCTCCCACCCCTCCTCCTCCCGCCTCTCCCACACCCCCTCACGGTCTTCGGTGAGCATTCCCCAGCCGGTTATCCAACAGGACACGTTACTGGGCAGCTGCATGTCCTGGGATGGGAGGCAGGCGGGGACAACGTAGGAAGTGAAGTTCACAGGCAGGTGCAGCTGCAACATGGCAATGTCACTCCCAAAGGGGTGGAGCTTCTCAAAGTCTGGATGGGTGATGATCTGGTGCACAGACATCTTCTGGGTGTGCTGGGTTTGATGATACAGTTGGGTGTTTCCCAACAGAACCTGATAGTTCTCCGGGGCCTGGGATTTGCTGGAGGAGGAAGGGCCCATTTTTACCATCCTCTGGGAGTGTGGGGCAGCACTCTCTTCTTACATCCACGTGTAACTGCCCACACACCCCTGGGTCCTTCTCCCCGGACAGGATTCCAGGTAGCTTTGTATCCCCCTTTCTGAGTCAGGAGCTTTTCTTTCTTTGAGGCTAATGGATATTCTACTCACAACCTCAGGACATGTGGCCTCCCCAGTACACCCTTAAATCAGAGGAGCAGAGAATCCTAGTGCCAGAAAAGTCCTTGGCAGAGTCATCACATCGAGCCCTTTTATTTTACACAAGAGGAGCTCTGGCTTAATTCTGGCTCCAGCCTGACCCTTCCGAAGGCTACCTATGACCCGCTTCCTGGCCTGACCACCTTTCCTGCCCTCCCCAAGGGTGTGTTCCCCACTGTTGTGAGCACTCACAAAGGATTTGTTCAATGTCCAGATGAGTGCATGAAACTGGTGCTCTCCTTGTTCCTGAACACAAGTGATGAAACTTCTGACCTTTGTGACTTTGTTCACGTGGGTCAGCCACCAGGAAAGCCCTCGCCACACTCCCCATGCCAAAGCCTCCCCTTCTGGCAAGTGCCTGCAGCTCCTCGTCCTCCCTCAAGACTGCAGCATCTCTCTGGATGCCCCGGCCTCACGTCAGCTCTTCTCACCCATTGTGGGCTTTCTCTCCTGCATCCTGCTTGTTGGAGTTTGTGCCTCGCCTTCCCATAGAGACCCCTTCACTTGGGGTCTTGCCACACCCTGTGCCATAGAGGGTCTTGGGTGGTGTGACACACAGGAGATGCTCACAGCGCCCAGTTGGAGCCTCAAAGCCACTAAGTGCCCAAGCTGACTCCATACCTGGACTGTGATGCCTTCCTCTCCCTCTGGGTCCCTCCATGACTGTTGAGAAGCTGGGCACAGAGTCAGGTTCAGGAGGGTCAGAGGAGTTGCACCCCTGACTGTCCACGTCATTCTCCAGGGTCAGGGGGTCCCATTCTTTCCACCCATGCATGCACTCTGGCACAGCTCCTTCCAGGCATACAGTTTTACAGAAAAAAAAGCATTGCCTGGCTGCTGGCTACACGCAGAGTCCCCAGTCCCTGCCTGGAGTCTGACTCACAAGAGCATGGTGGACACTGAAGAGAAACCTGCAGGCGGCCAGCACAGACACTGCCAATGCTCTCAGGCATGTCTCGGTTGAACAGACAGACATAGGGGCCAGGGAACTCCCTGCCAGAGTTGAGGATGAAGGATGAGGAGGATCTGGGCAGATGGAGGGACAGTGGGTGGAGAGTGGGGAGGACAGTCGTGGTGGAGAGGACTGCAGGTCAAAGGCAGGCACTGCGTCAGTTTGGTGGCAGCAGACTTGCCCAGAGCAAAGCCCAGAGGAGAAAGGCATAAACCCCCCAGCCCGCTAACCCTCGTCCCTTGCATCTTCCTCCCCATCAGCCCCTCTGCTGGGGCCCAGGGAAGGAGGACTCACTTGAGAAAGCAGTGGGCTGTCGACACCAGCCAGCGGGAGTCGATGAGGACAGCTCCACAGAGGTGCGAGCTCCGATACAGCAGGCTGGCCTGCCATGGCCACTGACCAGCTGCTGCGTCCCGGCCACCGTAGATCTTCCCCACCACCTTAGGCTTCCCACACACTGTGGAGACACCCCGGTCCACCTGTTAGAGACACTAGTGGTGCCCATGAATGCCACCCCAGTGAGGCCTCTGCTCTCTTCACAGATGGGAAAACCAAGGCCAAAGAATAGGTGACCTGGCCAAAATGACTGAGGGCTTCCCCAGCGTCTGCCTTCTATGGCCACTACCAGGACCAGATGACAGAGTACAACTGAGCAGGCTCTGTGGGAATGAGGGCCCAGGGGTCTGGCAGGCAGGGCAAGGCTGACCCAGGGTGGCCACAGCAGCTCATCCGGACCTGCCAAGGACTGGTGGACTGGAATCCAGCCCTGGGACTTTATTTTCCTCCATCAGAACACCTGTATGCCTACTTTACAGATCAAAGAACTGAAGGTCTCAGGGGTGTCCAAGTGGCTGTGCCCCCTGCATCTCACTCCAGTATCCCAGGGAGAGAGATTCTCAGGCAGGAGTCTGTTGTGCTGTGTGACTTGGGGAAACTTGCTCCCCCTCTCTGATTCCTGATCTTCTATTTTTAGAAGGTGAGGGGATGTGGCTGATGTGGACAACCTTGGTTCTGAGACTCACACCTGGGAGGGGAGCTGTGGGCCTAGACCCCTGAGACCCAGCGTCCTGATCCCTGGCCTACGCTTCCAGGCCTCAAGAAGGGGACATGAGACCCCAGGGCCCACCCTACTCCCAGAGTCCTGGTGCTGTCTCCCTCCACCCAGCCCCCGCACCAGGTCCTGGTGCCCCGTCCAGTTCTGTGGGCCCCACACTCAGTCCTGGGACCGAGACGGGCAGCCTGACCCACCTTGCTTGATGTCGTTTCTGGAGCCACCTGGTTGGGAGGGGAGGGGAGCCAGACCACGGATTCGGTTGACTTCGGGCCCTGGCACCAGGCCCAGAGCCCCGCCCTCCTCCCCACCGCCTCCGGCCTGCGGTTCCCCCATCTCTCCGTGACGCCCGCCTCTCCCGGACACTCCTCACCCCACCCGGTCTTGCCGAGCCCTCGACCCCTGCCCCCGTGGCCCAGTGGCCCCCTCAAATGCCCCCTCCCCCCTGCCCCCTGCCTCCGAGGCCGGCTCGGCCCCACGCCCTCTGCTTCACACGGACCTTGGGCTCTGACTGCGGGCTCCCGGCCCTGCTGCGCCCCCAAGCTCTCTTCGGCCGCCCCCGAGCTCTCCCTGGTCTCCCCCGGAGCGTGCGAGGGGCTGGGGGCGCGGGACGGTGGGGCAGGGGCGGCCTCTGGGCTCAGGAGCAGCAGCGGCAGCAGAGACCAGAGCAGGGGCCCCGGCTGGGCTCCGGTCCGCGTTGACCCCACACCCATCGCCTGACGCAAGGGCAGAAGGAAGGGGAGCTGGAGCCGACCCTGACCCCCGAAACAGGCGGTGACTCCCAGCCCTGGCTCCTGGGAAACAGGTCCTGACCTCGCCCTGACCCCAGCCCCAGACTGGCGCTGAACCCAGTCCCTAACCCCGTCCCAAGACAGCCCCTGACCCCGCCCTGACCCGCCCCGTGTCCGACCCCTGACACCCAGGAAGCAGTCTTTTGCCAGAGAATTCCTTAGGCAGCCGCAGGTCCCAGAACAAAGGAGAGGGTGAAAGCTGCCGGGAGCTTGTCCTTCTCTCCACTACGGAGACAACTCACAGTCTCCAAAACGCATCTCCTTTCTGGGAACTCTTTATCTCGGCACCTTGAAAGCTGTCATCTCGCCTAGTGTTCTGGGCTCCAGTTGCCTTTTCTAGATAGCTGAGGAAGAGGTGGAGAACTGGGGCCAAGACTTGTCAAGAGTTTCCAAGGGCAATTTGGGGAAAAGATGAGAGGAGGACGTGAACATCTGTCCCCAGCTGGTTCATTGACTTACCCCCGTAATCTTAGCACTTTGGGAAGCCAAGATGGGAGGTTCACCTTGAGGCCAGTAGTTCAAGACCAGCCTGGGCAACATAGCAAGACCTCCCCTGCAGTTGAAAATTATATATTTTCAACTCAGAAAAAAATAATAATAAAATAAAATAAAATAAAATAAAAACAGCTGTCCCAGGCCGGGCGCGGTGGCTCAAGCCTGTAATCCCAGCACTTTGGGAGGCCGAGACGGGTGGATCACGAGGTCAGGAGATCGAGACCATCCTGGCAAACACCGTGAAACCCCGTCTCTACTAAAAAATACAAAAAACTAGCCGGGCGAGGTGGCGGCGCCTGTAGTCCCAGCTACTCGGGAGGCTGAGGCAGGAGAATGGCGTAAACCTGGGAGGCGGAGCTTGCAGTGAGCTGAGATCCGGCCACTGCACTCCAGCCCGGGCTACAGAGCGAGACTCTGTCTCAAAAAAAAAAAAAAAAAGAAAAAAAAGAAAACAGCTGTCCCTAGGTGGAAGAGGCTTGGGGTTTCTCTTAGGAATACCTGTTTCATGGAACTGCGGGGACGACACCAGTCCCCTGGTCTGAGTTGGCAGCACAGCTCCACTGCACAGCCGTGCGGGTTGAGAGTAGTTTCAATGTCCACCCTCCTGGAGCCATGCTGCTCAGAAGGAATATTGTCTGAGCCACATATGTAACCTTAAATTTTACAGTAACAACATTCAACTAGAAAGAAATAGGTGAAATTGATTTTAATATTTTTTATTTTACCCAATATGTCAAAAAATTATTGTTTCCACATATAATGCAGGTAAAAATCATCGAGATAGTTCACATTCTGTTTTCCATGGTAAGTCTCCAAAATGTGGTGTGTGTCGTGTTGTCTACTCACAGCACAGCTCAATTCGGCCTCGCCATGTTCAGGTGCACAATCATCGTGTGTGGCCCAGGGCTGCTGTCCTGGACAGCACAGGACAAGTGAACACAAACTCCCTCCTTGCTCTTCTCCTCCCACACCTGCTAGCCTGTGAGAGGAGAAAGCAGCCCTTCCTGGGTTCAGTGTGGTAGTTCATGGTGGCTGAGACGGGCCCGAATCCCAGGGCTGCTCTGAGGGAAGGAGCTCAGTCTGGACTCTGGCCTCCGCTCTTGAAGAAATGGAGATGTGGTCGGGCGTGGTGGCTCACGCCTGTAATCGTGTGGTGGCTCACGCCTGTAATCCCAGCACTTTGGGAGGCCGAATTGGGGGGATCACGAGGTCAGGAGATCAAGACTATCCTGGCTAACATGGTGAAACCCCGTCTCTACTAAAAATACAAAAAATTAGCCGGCCTGGTGGCGGGCACCTGTAGTCCCAGCTACCCAGGAGGTTGAGGCAGAAGAATGGCGTGAACTTGGGAGGTGGAGCTTGCAGTGAGCCCAGATCACGCCACTGCACTCCAGTGTGGGGGAGAGAGCAAGACTCCGTCTCAAAAAAATAAAAAATTAAAAAATTTAAAGAAAGACTGTTAGGGGAGCCAGAGATCATCTCTAGCCCCCCTTTTAGTTCTCAGTGGGCTCTTCATCTGGATCTAGAAACCAAATTGACACCAGGCAGATTGGGTTTTTTTATATATAACAAATCATTTTTATTTCTTTTAACCTATTATTTATTCATTTATTTTGAGACAGGGTCTCTGTTGCCTGGGCTGGCATGCAGTGGTTCGATCACAGCTCACTGCAGCTTTGATCTCCTGGGCTCAAGTGGTCCTCCCACCTCAACCTCCTGAATAGCTGGGACTACAAGCACATACCACGCCCATCTAATTATTTTTATTTTTTGTAGAGATGGGGTCTCACTGTGTTGCCCAGGTTGGTCTCGAACCCCTAAGCCTCAAGTAAGCCTCCTGTCTTGGCCTCCCACAATGTTGGGATTACAGACACGAGCCACTGCCCATCCTGAGAGCGGGTAGATTAACAAAAGAAAAGTATACAAATTTCATTAGTTTTACACGAACATGAGGATCTTTACAAGAGCGTGAAGTCTGAAGAAGTGGCCAAAGCAAGATGCTTTTACACTTTTTAGATAAAGAGCGATAAATTTAAGAAAAAACGACGGGACAAAGATAATCTGGCAACAGGCAGTAAGTTTCCCAGGGGAGTCACTAGGAGGTATGGGGGGTGTCAAACTAGTGAAAGACAAGGGTTATTCATTAAGTATATTTATTTAGGTCCATTGCGGCCTCCGGTTCCCAGTTTCTGGGGATAGGGCTCTTGATTCACCCTGGTATGGCGAGGGTGCCCCTTCCAGAGGAAACTTTATGGCTTGTTTCATGCAAGAAGAGACACGTCAGCTTGCCCTTTCTGAAACTACAGTTTCTCCAATATTATCAACTCAAAATAATCAATATACCAATCTGACATATTTGGGATGGCACATCCTTCACTCCTTCATTTCCTTGGCTTGGAACTTCACTAGACGTTTTTGAACATTAAAATCTGAGTTGGTAGCTGTGGAAAGAAGAGTTGAGTTAGTAGCTCTATCACAGGGATCTGAAAAGGGAGAGAAGAGCATCGATTAGGGGAGTGGACAAACAGAAGAGAACAATCTAAGCACAGTTTCCACACTGCAGCAAGCCAGCCTCCCCTTGCTGGGAGGAGGTTTGTCCAAGAAAATGTTTTAGCCTCACTTATTTCATGAAAAACGTTCGTCTTGTCTTTTAAGACATGTCGATTAGACTCTATATGTCCAGAACAATTTACATGAAGTCAGTATATTTTCTTTTCATTCTTTTTTATTATCATTTATTTATTTATTTATTTTTTTGAGACAGGGTCTTGCTCTGCCACCCAGGCTGGAATACAGTGGCATGCTCATGGCTCACTGCAGCCTTGACCTCCAGGGCTCAAATAATCTTCCCATCTCAGCCTCCCTAGTAACTGGAACTACAGGTGCATGCATGCCACCACACCTGGCTAATTTTTGTATTTTCTGTGGGGATGGGGTCTCACTATGTTACCCAGGCTAGCCTCAAAATCCCAGGCTTCACCAACACTCCTGCCTCAACCTCTCGAAGTGCTAGGATTACAAGGATTAGAAGCGTGAGCCACCACGCCTGGCTAGCCTCTCAATATTGAATAGAACTCTGCCCCATTGGTGATCAGGTGACCACCCAGGTCCTGGAGCCTGACCATTCCTGCCTCCTTGTATGAACAAGGGTAGTGGCTGGCCCCTCTGCTTCTGCAGCCCCCTTGCTGAGGCGGCTGGTTGCTCTCAGAGCTAGCTAAGGTCACCAACTTGGTTTTGTGGGACATGCACAAGCCCTAAGTAGCCATGCGCTGCTCTGAGAGGGCTCACCCTGCCTTGGGCCAGACTCCATCACTGGCCAGGGCCACAGCAGTCTTGGTTTCCTCCAAGGTCATGGCTGGAGTGCCCATGGCACCCCTGGTGTCTCTCTCCTAGAGGGGCTTCATTTGATGCTGGGCTGGACACCTCTGGATTTCAGGCTTGGGGCGTTTGAGGGGGCTGTGTCCCATAGGAGGTCAGCATGAGGACACAGGACATGCTGTTGGCTGGCCAGAGCTATGAGGATGACACACACACCCTCCCCTCCAGAGGCCTCCAAGTCTCCAGCTTCCCTGTGGATGCTGGTTTCAGCTGGCTGAGGGGCTGTCTGGGGCTTCCAGGCACTTGCAGGGTAGGCTGCTGTCCTGGCTCCTTCCAGACCACGGAATTCCATTGCAGTAACTCACCACCAAACAATGAGTGGTTTGTCCTGGGCTGGGGGCAGGCAGGCCAGACCCTGAGCCCCTAGGGCCCCCAGAGAAAGGCCTGTGGCCCCAGGCTCTTTGGAGACCCCCTGGTGCCACTGAGGGCCTCAGCCATGGGGACAGCCCAGCCAGGTGAGGGTTGGGCAGGACCAGGCTCCTGTTTTCCTGGGACTACCTTTATGGGCTGCTGGGCCAAGGAAAGCCAGCCCATGCTCTCTGGGGAGGGTTTCCAGGCTGGGGGAGGCCAGCAGAGGCCTGGGGGCTGAGACACTCGCTCCAGGCCAAGGGCCATCCTGGGGACTCTTCAGGTTTCCCTGAAAGGAAAGGAGGCTCGGTCAGCTTCTCCACCCAGCCCATCTGACCCTCGCAGGGATGGGCCCCATGGACCTGGATCCCTGGAGTCCTCGTGGTCCCTGCATAGCCCTCCTGAGTGACACTGAGGACACTGCTGCGGGCCCTGATCCCAGAGCGAAGGGTGTGTGCCATCCGGGGATGGGAGCTTTCGGGGCATCTCAGGCTGCTCCTGGGACAGCCCCATGGGGTTCAGGTGGCTCAGTCTCCCTGATTCACACCCTCGCCCTCACCTCTGCTTCAGCCCTGATTCAGAGCAGGTGGGAGAGGCCTTAACTGTCATCCAACCCACTTGCCACCTAACCTGGGGCCTCTCTCCACCGTGGGTAACATGCCCCCAGGGCACTGGGCTCCCCCTGTCCTCTGGAGCCCCCTCTGCCCTCTGTCCTTTCCAAGCCAGGCCTGGACCGTTCCCACACTCAGTGGAACCCTCACTTCTGCCCCTTGGCCCAGGGTCCCACCTCTGCCCTTTCCCTGAATCCTGTCTCTGAACACTGGTTCTTGCTACTCTGTGGCTCAGGGCATGTCCTGACCCC